CTCATTTGCAGTGCAGTTAATTTACCTATGGGGTATCCAGTTCTGCCGCAGCACCCAATGCCACCTACAGTTCAGCCTCATGTTGACCCCATGGGTTGTGGACTGTCCAGCTGTCATGTGGTCAATGGTATTCCTGCTCCAGGCAGTTTTCATCCCATTCGCTTGAATTCTGGAACCAAGTACGTTTTCCTGCATAAGTTATGCACCATAGAATTGTGAAATTGACTATTAACATATCAAATGGCAAACGACAAACCCTGTTTGTTGACTTGTGCAGTAGTAGAAATATAACCGAAACAAGAACCCCTCAATCGCATAATCATGTTCAAAGTTCTGTTTTCTTGCACACGAATCACTTAATACTTGATTTCTGATTTTCTACTATAAGAATTCTTCTCTCTGATGCTTGAAGACTGGACCTCTTTTTTTATGTTTTGAGATAAAATATATCAACCACAATTCTCCCTCTCACAAAAGTTCTGTAATCCTTACTTCATGAATCAAAAAGAAGACTCTAATGAGGATCATCCTAGTTCTTCTGGGAAGAGAGACCATTTTAAAAACACTGCTTTGTGAATCACCACAGTCACACACATGCATCTCTCCTATTATACATCTCATTCCAACATTTGAAGACCGTAGCAAGTAGCATAAATGCTTGCTGCAGATCAATCCGACTTAATCCATGAAATCCTGAATCATGTTGAACTGCAGCATTATCCAGGTCTTCTGAGAAGTAAGATAATGCATTCTTATTCTTTTCTGTCTTCTTAATGTCAAGTGCAACTTATTTACTCTACTAACAGCTTTCTATGTCCCAGTTCCAAACTTACAATCATACGATGAGCCAACTTGTGCTTAAAGCAAATAATAACATGTTCAATATAAGATTTTTGTTTTCCTTGTTTCGTGTTTTATAAAACATCTTTTGATTTTTTTTTTTAATCATTTTGATTGACAGTGGCACAACTGAAGCCACTCATACAGCCCCTCCATGCAGTGCATCTATGTCTGAGATGGCTGTGAGTCCTGCCTCAGTGGCATCAAGCAATCATTTTCCTTTCACACCCGAGATCTCTGGGATAGGCATGGATGCATCAGCACTTGATACGAGCTTCCCATCTGACGTGGCAAATTCTGGAGAGCTGCACCTAGGACCAGATGGTGTGGGATCCTCAAGAGACTCAATTAGATCATTAGGACATCTGTGGAATTTCAGCCTTTCAGATCTAACAGCAGATTTGACAAATTTAGGAGGTAATGCTGCTCCTGGTATTCACCAATTCACATTTGCTATCAACTCTTTAGAAAAAAATGCTTACTGATATGTTGATCCTTGAGTAATCTAAAAATGTGGAAGTGGTAAGAACACATTTGAAACTGGATATGAGCGACTCTTGAAGAAGGAAGCAAGGGTACCTTTAGAATATACTTGATGTGCATATAGCCTGTGGCCTTGAGATATCTCTGTATATAGCCTTAAGTTCTTATTAGAAATTTGTAAATCTTAAAGGTCAGAAAATTAAGGGTTGCATGATGCAAATGAAGCAGTAGGAAGAAGCTGCCTGGACATACTTTTAACCAGGCTCAAGAAAAAGTTACATTTTTAGCTTCTGATAAAAGGATGATCTGTAGACATATCATTATTTGTCAATCAAAAATCAATAGGTACCTATAATTATTACGCCGTGACCTCGAACATAATATGGTGCTTGGATAGTAAAATCAGTAATGTGATGATCCTTCTTTAGTTATTTACTGTAACCTGCTGTCTTTCCTGATTTCATTTGACACAATAATGCTTTTTTGGTTTATAGAAGACCTTGGAGTTTTGGGAGACTACGATGGTTCTCCTTTCTTACCATCAGACTCGGATATCTTGCTCGACTCCCCAGAACAAGATGATATAGGTAATGTAAACCCTCACAATTTTCTTGTCATATGCAATGCAAGGATTGATTCCACAGTATGACAAAAAAAAGTAACTTAGTGATCACCCTAATGACATTTACTCGAAGAATATCCTGACAGACCTTGTTTGGTATTTCGTGTTTCAGTTGAAGAATACTTTGCGGACATTGCCACAGGATCATGCTCTCACCAATCAGATGAAGAAAAATCTTAAAGATGAACTAGTGAGACCATTTTGCATCATCGCATTTTTTATAATCTTCACGACTAGAATGATGGTTCTCCATATATATCAGAAGTTTACAGCAGTTAAAGATCCATAGCTGAGATGGCCTAATCTGTTTGCCACTGATAGAACAGAGGACAGAATAATATTATTCATATCCATAGATTGTTTATGCTGCAACATCAAAAAGTAAAACCACCCCGTAAGTCAATAACTGAAATGTAAGTGTAGATTGCTGCTAACTTTAGTTACTTTTTAGCAGCATTAGCATTATTGTTATGGCAGTCTGTATGAGTGACCAAGCTTGCAATGACCAGGTTTAAATTAGCTGAAACCTACAGCATATCTAGAGGTCAGCTACTTGGCTCTAACAGGAACTTTTCTTTCAGGTGGGTGCTTATAATGACTCTCTTTTACCAAGCTTAAAGAAATAATCCAGTCCATTAATCTAGTCAGATTTCATCCTTCCATATATAGTTGATGATTTGTATCTTGCCATGATTCACTTTAATGTAGCTGTGGTTCAATTGCTGGTGGTTGGAGACCAGTCTGACTAGGAAATCTATTCTTTGGTTCAGTCTTCTCTTCACCAAAGATGTAGATGTACCATGAAGGATGACTGCTCCATTTCAATGTAGAGGCATCACAGACTAATCCTCGGCCTAGTAATACATGACATATGAAAGCCATGATGCTAAGTAGATAACAAGCTAAAGTTGATGCCAAGTTTGGATTAAATCAATGACTACATTAGGAAAAAACGTAAATGTTGAAGCATCTCAGCCATCTATGTTTTGAAATCATAACCATCAGTTGCAAAAATGGTACCACAACAGTAGGAAAAGCCAATGATGCTAAGTAGATAACAAGGTAGAGTTGATGCCAAGTTTGTATTAAATCAATGACTACATCAGGAAATAACATAATTGTTGAGGTATCTCAGTCATCAATGTTCCTAGTACCACAATCAAAATAGAAGAACACTCTTATGGACACTTGCACAACATCGATGCCTCACATTTCACTTGATACAAACAACACAAACAATGGCATTGATTTGATAACAAATTGAAAGGTCATCTGATGAGCGTTATATCATCTGAGGAATCAATATCATCACCTCTAGGGGATAACATTTAGCAAATAATAACTCGGCAAACACATTCAAAACTCTCTGTCACAACAACCTATAAATAGTTCCGAAACCATTCGTCGAGCAAAAGGAACATAACTCAGGCTATACCTGCAATAATCACAAACAAGTGTCAGATTTAGTGAGACCGAGCAGGTAATATTTCAGTTTTAAATGTCAAGCAAAACTAACTGATTGACTTTGTTATTATCTTTTTCCAAAGTCACTGAGGCCTGATTACTGGAACTATAATTGGAAGCTGGATCAGGATACATGTCATGCTATTCTTTTATGGTTGGGATTTTGTGGGAATTATGTACATGTAACAAGACTATAAACAAGTATCTAGACAAGCATACTCTTTTAGAAAAGATGGTAATCAAGTGCTGATACAATATTAAATTCTTAAAAGATAGGTTGATGCTCCAGAATCTAAACAAGACAACTTTATTTGAGACAATGAGCAATAGATTGATACTTTATAGGTCGTAATTTAACTTTTATATAATAGAAAATATACTATTAGATTTGACCTAGAATCTTATGAAAAATCACAAGAATCTGGAGAGTTCATGGACGCTTGACTAGTAAATACTAAATGCCCTATCTAGGTTAGTTCCCATTCCTTGACTGGTAATATCACCTACACTTTTTTTTTTTTTGCAAAAGTGAAATCATAATTTCATTGAAGATCAAAATGCTCAGAAAACAAAAGTTAAAGGCATAAGGTGCCTATCAAACTGGCCTTTCCAAAAGGCACAACAGATACTCTCCCTACTCCAGTTTGCTAATCTGAGTTGAGTCATTATAGACTCATTGTATGTACTGGAAGCTGATGACTTGACCTTGTCGGCCAACCGTATGACATCTTATACACCTAAGGGAATGCTTCGACTTATAAACAATTCTCATGCTGAAGTATAAAAGGGAACCACTCCCTAGACGAAGCTTAAATTACACCAAATCTTTTTTCATTTTTCTGCTCGAAAAGCCCTTGTAACTGATTGTTAGGATCTCTTTATTTTCTAAGCTTTTGAATAATGTTTATTGAGCCTGTTTAGTTCAGTTAGAATCAGGTAAAGATTTATTTAATATTTATTTATTATTAAGAGTCCAAGTCCTGATAGACTTTAGATGAAACTCTATAAATAGTGATGTAACACTTTATTTTCGACAATCAATCAATCAAGAAAATATTATTAAGTCTTATAACAAATCCTAGGAGGTCAATCCCCTCGAAGTGATCAACAAGGAGACCGATCCCCTCGAAGTAATCAAGGAGATCGATCCCCTCGAAGCGATCATTCACTTTTCTCTTCTTTCTTTTACGATAAGACCTTAGAATCTTAACATTTGGTATAAAGCCTCGAAGTCATCATCCTATTCTCTTCTTTCTTTTACGATAAAACCTTAGGGTCTTATCACTAATTAATGCAACCAAATACACATGATCATACAAGAAATATGTACATATCATGATATTGTAAATCCACACCTATGATTGTCTATCTTTCATAGCCATAGGCCAGGGTTTGGGATTGCAATGGTTTCTTTACATTATAAACCAGCCATACAGGAGATTGGTGATCAAAAACCCTAATCAGAAGAAAAAAAAAAGCTTACAAAACATTCACAATGTTGCACTATTATTTTTTAGTTGCCCACATAAGTGATATTATAATTATAATTGAACCAAAGTTATATAAACTGTCAAATAGCAGCATACCAAAACTTACCAAACAAGAGCACAGATCTCAATTATAATTGCAATTAATGTCAACATTTTGCTATGAATCTGCACAACATGACAAGTAGAGTATCTCAGAAGTATGGTGAAGCAATACAGGCAAAAATCTATCCTAGTTAATACACTTTGAAGCTTCAATAATATAGCAGATGGAACTTACCCAAAGAGCACAAACTAGAGCAACAATGGCACTGCCGACATATATAGCTGTTGCATAAATGCGGACTGGATCAAGCATCAATCTCGCTTGTTGTACGGGCCCGATTAGGAAGGCTGTGCTGCCGCATGAATAAACAGAGGATGAGCACAAGTAGCAGAAACAGAAGGAAGAAAAGGTGATTAAAGCTAAGAATCACAGTTCATATAAAACCAAATTGGTGATTCTCATAGGAAATCTAAGACAAAGAAATCCATTGATCTCCCAAATTTATAGACCTACCTTCCTACTGCCAGTATATTTCCAAAGGTGAACATAATGCCAAATTTGATGGGTCTGTAGAAAACAATAAGAGACTGCAAAAAGAAGAGAAAGCAAACAGTTCAGCACAAACAAAACATATATCAACCAGCAAGTGTCGCTTATCACAGCCAAAAGGAAGCATCCAACTCTATCTTTTCCCTGTTATTGTATATCAATATAAATCTCTGAGCCAGCTCTGATACCTAATGCCACTGTCCTTTACAGCCGCAAGGATGATAGGTTCAAAGAACACCCGAATTCATGAAAAGGACTGTTTGATTCTTGATTTACCAAACAGAAGCAAAAAAGGGATCTCCTTTTTACCAATCAAGAACGAAGAAGCTACTCAAGAATCGACACATCGTACCAAGAGCATAAAAGCGAAGCCGATGACCAGAGACGCCGCGAAGCCATACAATCTCTGACCCAGAGGCAAGAAGAGCGAATCAGAAACAAATGAAAGATTGGCAATCAGGCAGCGAAAACGGCAAAGAAGATGGAGGACCTGGAGAGGAGACCACGAGTCGGAGCCCTCGAACTCGCCCAACAGGTCCTCTTCTCGGTCTTGGTCGCCTCCATGAAGGGACTGCGGGATCCATTTGAATCTCTCCATCCTCCGATGGTCCGATCTGCGACAAGAGATATCGCGATACAGATCATTCCATCCCCCAGTGATCGATGGGACCGGCAGGACGATCCCTGCGCCGGAGGAAGAGTGTCCCTTCGATGGTCTACTAACTTGCGGATAATTTGAGATAATCGCGTCTCGTTGTACAAGGGAATATTTCTTAGGTGCGGAGTTGGGTCGAATCCGCTTAGGATCCGATTACAAAATATATAAAGACCACTAACCAATAAATTCTCTCCCGCCTTCGTTTAATGGATAAATATTAATATCTCGATTTTTAGAATTATAAATTTATATTAAAATATCTATAGTTATATAAGTAAAATATGTAGATCTATTTATCCGTCGATTTTACTAATGAAAGCATAAAAATAATTGGTAAAAAATATAATTTTAACATCTTAATTATGTTCTCGATGGTGGTAGACAACGACACTGCTAGGGGCCGTGAATGACTATTGCAGATGAGGAAGGAGAGCAACAAAGACAAATAAGGTAAATGGAGAGAAAGAAGAGGATGACACGGATGTAGAGCGACGAAAGAGCGACAGTCTACTATGAGCCAAATGCAGCATTCTTTTGTTGGGCTTGTGACACATCTGCCCACGACACTAACTTCCTCGTGGCTCATCACATCCGCCAAGTCACCTATATTGCTTGCCACTCCCTCGATGCTGACTACCGCATCCCTGACGCAAGCCCATGGTGGGTTCACATCCTTTGCGCTTCTTGCGATCTCGATCTGATTACCTCCCTTTGCACTATATGGCCTCCTCGTCCTCTAGCTCTTGCTTCTCCACCTCCGAGTCCACGGCGATGCCTCGAGCGAAGAAGCTCGTAGATCCTTGGTGGATGACCATGAAGTAGCAATGCGAGGTGGTTAAGGAGAGGGTGAAGGTTGTCCTATTAAGCTAGGACCAGAGGATAGGGTTGCAGAGTGACATCGATGTAGTTTTTTAGCAATATCGAAGTATATGCAGAGCGATAAAAGAGTTGCTCGACATTTGCATCGACGTCACTCAGCAACTACGTCGATAGTGACGCAAATGTAGAGCGACGAAAAGACTGCTCAACATCTACATCGATGTTGATGCAGATCTAAAGCAACACTACGTTATCCTCTTCCTCTTCTCCCTTTGTCTTAACTCTTGTTGTTGTTATTCCACCTCATCCACAAAGCGACGTCGTTGTTTGTTACCATCTAAAATGTAAATGAGATGTTAAAATTATATTTTTCCCTATTTTTATATTTTTATTGATAAAATTGATAATATTAGGATAAATAGACATATATATTTTATTTTTATAACTATAGAGATTCCAATATAAAATTTTAAGGCTAAGAACCGAAATACTAATGAGGTTTAACTATAGGAGATAATATATAATTAACTCTTAATTAAAACCTTTTTTTTTTCACTTTACATTCTTATTTATTAGATATCCTCGGAAGAATATATAATGAATAAGAAGAGAAAAATAAAAGTGGGAAAGATAAAAAGGTTCTCTTAATATTTTTTTATTTAATTACAAAAGATACTTTATACTTGGAATCTAAATTCCACGACCAAAATTATGATTTAATGACCCCACCAAATATATATATATATATATATATATATATATATTTATTTATTTATTTATTTGGGGGAAAGTGACGTCACCAGTGACGGTTCAAAGCTGTGATTCGGCACAAATATATAGCCATCTCCGATATCTTACCGTCCCCGTCTCGTCACCTAGCCGCGCTGCTCCTCTAGAGCTGTTCGCCCAAGCGGACATGGCGTTCCAGAAGATCAAGGTTGCGAACCCAATCGTCGAGATGGACGGTGAGCAGAACCCTCCATCCGTCTCCTCTAATAATCCCGGGCTTTCCCCTTTTGTTGTTCCATGATCGCTCACGGAAGTAGCTATTAGAGTTTTTGTGATGCTTGTCAAAGGGCGGAATTTCTTTTGCTAGTTATTATATTCTCCATTTAAGGACTTAGTTGTCATATTTATTGATCCCGGATTTGTATGTCATTGAGAATATTGCGTGCTTGTTGTAGTAGATCTGCGATTTCGTCTATCATTTGCCCATATGATGCCCTTTTTTTTAATCCTACAAAGAACTTTTTATATATTACGGATATATTGCTCATGGATTGGAATGATTTCAAGGGACCAATTCTTTGCTTTGTAATTTTTTTTTTAATATAGCCAACTTGAACTAATTTCAGTCTTAATTGAAAAAGGAGAAATAATTGTAACACTAATCGCTATATCTTTATAAGAATCTGATGATGAATTCTATATATATGGCAAGCATGCAAGGGTTAAGTTTGATATATGCTGATAGGGTTGGATTCTATTGGTAATATTTGTCAATATGCCCATTGAGTTATGATATGTATGGTTGTGTTTTTGAAATGGCAATCCATGCCACCCAGGATGATCCACGGTTGGCAACAATGAGAGTTCACATGTCAATCAAATTAACCAAAATCGAGTGATCTAATTATTCAAGATGGAGTATTTTTTTTGTTCAAATAATTAGTAGCAAAGTGATTTTTGGACAACAAAATCGTTTCTGTTTGTGCAATTTGCACACAAGATATCTCTGATGTTTATTTTTAAAAATTTTCTAGATTCTTTGAAGCTCTCTTCTTGTTGACTATCTCCAATGTGTTCTCTGCTGCAGGAGATGAAATGACTAGGGTAATTTGGAGATCAATCAAGGATAAGGTGAACAACTACTTCTCTTCTAGCTGACCATTTCCACTTTTTTCTCAATCCGATAATCACATGATGTATTATTATTACTATTGTTCGTTTTGGTCACACCTATCTGAATTTAATGCTTTGATGATATATGCAGCTTATTTTCCCATTTTTGGATTTGGACATAAAGTACTTTGACCTAGGCCTTCCAAATCGGGATGCCACAGATGATAGAGTTACAATTGAAAGTGCGGAAGCTACTTTGAAGTAAGCATCATTTTCTTAAAATTGGAGCTATTTTTGTTGACTCTGTAACCCTACTTGTATTTAAATCATAATAATGCAGCAATGTAATGCTATTATTTATTGCCTACCGACTTTCTAATTCAAACATTCTAGTAGAGTCCTAAATGCCTCTTCTCATGGTTGACACTAACAGTAGCTTTATTCTCTGTTCCTCTTCCTTTGGCAAAGATTAGAGTTGCACTTCTAGTCACTTCTGTTTAATTATAGTGACACTCTATCTTTTTCTTGAAATTTAGATATATTACTAATGCCATTTTGCATCATTCTTATGGCATGTTGAAGCTATTTGTCCTGTAGTCTCTACTTAAACTGTTATTTGTGATTGCAGATATAATGTGGCAGTAAAATGTGCAACAATAACACCAGGTATAGTTGGAAATGGTTCAGAGGGTGTTTTCTGTGTAAACTGATATACGATGTGACGTTGATTTTTGATGATGTATGCATATTGATTATTGTTCTGCACCACAATCTATATCTTTCAGATGAAGGTCGTGTCAAGGAGTTCAACCTCAAAGCAATGTGGAAGAGTCCAAATGGAACAATCAGAAACATTTTGAATGGTATGCTGACTTAGTTGTTGGAAGCTCAATTTCCACTGTAGTTGTAACAAGCATGCAATTGCATTTAACTTTTCTTACTCCTTTCTCATTTTCCAAGGCACTGTATTTAGAGAGCCAATTATCTGTAGAAACATACCAAGGCTTGTGTCAGGTAATCCGAAAATGACATTTTATACTCTCACTATATGAAAATACTTCTTTCTCAACCCTGTCCTTAACTCTTCTGTTTCTTTCCTTCACCCTCTTTTACCTTATGTATCATGTTGTTAGGATGGACAAAGCCAATATGCATTGGAAGGCATGCTTTTGGTGATCAATACCGAGCCACAGACACAGTTATTAAAGGACCTGGGAAGCTAAAATTGTTGTTTGGTAAGTGCATCTGACATTCATGTTTAATAAGACTGTGATAAGTAGGATTTTCAATAATCCATGCTATATATCTGGCATGTATATCAAACTTGCTAGGTATAACTCAGCATCAAAGTGGCTGTCACTTTGTTTCTCCTTTTAGTTTCATGTTGTATTTATGTGCTTGGTTTTTTCTGCTATCATCCAAGGCTGCTGCCTAGTTTAGTCACAACCAACCAACCTAGCCGCAGTTTTGTGCAGCTTTGCATGAGTAGCCAATGAGGAAAAACTGAATATGTAATAACGTCTCCAGAATATGTAACAACTGCAGCAAAATCTACAAACAACTCCTTTCAGAAATTACTTCTTATCCAGGCATGAAAATTTAAGTAATGATTTAACCATCCAAATAGAAGATGTGCCCATCTATTATTAGTATATATTTATAATCTTTACTCTTTGTACAACATCTTACATTGGTTAGTTATTTTTGTACTACTTGCAAATTTAATGAGTTCTTTTCTGTTTTTCAATGACTGAATTCCCAGAGGGAAAAGAAGAGCAAGTCGAGCTAGAAGTGTTCAAATTCACAGGTGCTGGTGGTGTGGCGTTGTCTATGTATAATACTGATGAGGTAATCGATGGTAGTTGTGCATCTTTGTATGCTGGAACATGAATTAGAAGCTATTTTCTGATTTTAATTCTTGGTTATTATTATGTGCTTTATAGTCGATTCGTTCTTTCGCTGAGGCTTCAATGAACACAGCCTACCAGAAAAGGTGGCCACTTTACCTTAGCACTAAAAACACAATTCTCAAGAAGTATGATGGAAGGTATGGCTCCTTGTGCCTATAACATTGTGATGTCTGTGACGTTAGATTAAAGTGTTTATGTTGTAAGCATTTTCTGGATTGAAACATTATCTTGACTGCAGGTTTAAGGACATATTCCAGGAGGTGTATGAGACTCAATGGAAATCCAAATTTGAGGCTGCAGGAATATGGTAAGTTATACCAATCGACTTGGTCATCCATCATCTTTGGTGTTCACCCTGGCCATCTTTTCCAGGTATGAGCACCGATTGATAGATGATATGGTTGCTTATGCACTTAAGAGCGAAGGTGGATATGTGTGGGCTTGTAAGAACTATGATGGAGATGTGCAAAGTGATTTCTTAGCTCAAGGTGAGAAGACCAACTTTTTTATAAAAAAGATTCCTATTATGGTTTTGTGAAAAGAGCCCTAACCAATTCTATGACTTATGGCATAATTGACCACTGGAGGTTCATTGTTTTCTAATATGAGGATAAACTTCATTACTTTTCTGCAGGTTTTGGGTCCCTTGGGTTGATGACGTCAGTGCTGGTATTTATGCTTCAAAGAAAAATATAGTAGTAGCTGGTTGTTTAATAATCTAAATGTTCCATAGAACAGATGGATTTGAATTAGTACTTAGTACAGTCAACAAAAGTTAGAATGTTCTGGATTTAGAAAATAGAAACAGATATCTATTATTAATCAAAAGTTAAACCATAAATTGGGGATTTGTATCTTGTTCAGATGTGCCCTGATGGGAAAACCATTGAAGCAGAAGCTGCGCATGGCACTGTTACTCGTCACTATCGGGTTCACCAAAAAGGAGGAGAAACTAGCACAAACAGCATTGCTTCAATTTTTGCATGGACCCGAGGGCTTGCACACAGGTATGGAACAACTTTTTCTATATTGAGATGAGCACTGTCTTTGGGATCACACAAAGCATTAATTCTGAATGATTTCTCACAATTTCATGGAACCACTTTAACATTGTTCATCAGTATTATTGTGTTCAGCAGCATCATCAGTATTACAGTCACTAGCTAATTTTCCACTTATTTTGTTTTGTTCTTATTAGTCATAATGAACGTCACTTTTAATCTGTCCTGTATTTTGTCTGCTTCACTAGCAGTTGTGTTGTCCGTGAAGTCTCTCTAACAAAATGTAGGTGATGTCCAAACAGGGCAAAGCTAGATAATAATGCAAGATTGCTCGATTTCACTCAAAAGCTTGAGGCAGCTTGCATTGGAACTGTGGAGTCTGGGATGATGACCAAAGATCTTGCTCTCCTCGTTCATGGACCCAAGTACTTCCAACACTAGTCGTAATTGCCATAACTGTTGGACTACTTCATTCATAATCTAATTCAACAATCTCAATTGTGAACTCAGGGTTACTCGAGATAAGTATCTGAGCACCGAACAGTTCATTGACGCGGTGGTAGCGGAGCTTAGGACAAAGCTGTGTGCCAGATCGAAGTTGTAAACTCCCTCTCACCCTTACATTGGCTCAGGAATTAGTTGTGGTATCATATACCTCTCCTTATCCTTATTAGCAACCCTCAATTTTTGCCTGATGCTGTGTGAATTGGTCTTTGATGCTTAATGTCAATTGCAGGACCGTGTAGATTGCGAAGGAGTGGGTCGCTTTCGACCTTTCAGCAATAAGGTGGAGTTCTCGTCAGTAATTCATCATGTCAAAGGAACTGAACAACTCAATTTACTTTGCCCCCTACCCGTGATATGTTTTACGAGTTGAATTGTTGTACTCTTCTGGCTGTGGTTGTGCGTTTGGTGCATACAGGTGTCATATCATGTGCATCTCGTGTTGATGTAGCAGCTAATTGAATATTGTGGATGCTTTAGCTAAAGAGAGTATACTATTGCACGGCAAACAACTTGGAACACTTGCATAGGTGTTTGCGTTGGTCATGTGCCTACTTCCATGCAATTTTTTTTACTAGCTATAAATATGGATAATTATTTAAAGAGATGGATGAAGATATTATTAAGATGATGGGGGATATCGTTGGATATATTTAAAATTTAAAAAATATAAAATAATTATTATATTAATATTATTATATGTATAGATAAAAATAATTAATATATATAATTTATGTTATTGAATATTGATATGGACGTATAATAGAGTTACTAAAAATAATTAAAAAAAATTTATTCGTGAATAACTTGATATCCTTTTGATTAATATAAAAAAAATAATTTTTTAATAAATTTAGTATTTTAAATTTTATTAAATATATAATTTTTTAATATCTTAATAATGATAAAAGATCGTTGTAGTTGGTCTCAAATGATTATGACTTACGGTTTTATTATTAATATTGTATAAATATAAATAATTATTAATATTTTAAGAGATTATTCATTTTACTTTAATGGATTATTTTAATATAATATTTTTTCTATTTTACATCCACCCATCTTTTGCCAACATAATAAATGTTGTTTGGTGTACACAATGGTATTACATAAAAAAAATGAAATAATGTGCGTATTATGACGGCTCCAAACAAGCAGCGGCGAGCGCAGAAGAAATGGCTGCTATGACACTTTTGACATAGACAAACCCAGCATAATTTCTTGTCTTAGTTTGACATTTGACACTTTTTAACAATGTTTGCTAAACAGTTTCTATATTCTGTCTTTTGACTTTGATGAAATATAATTATACCTACATTGTTTGACATCGTCAACGATGCGTTGACTAGCACAGACGGAAGGATTCAGAGCTTAGCAGCTGCGGAAGATGCGTTGGGGTACTAACGAAGGAAGTACCATTCACTCCGAGGCACGGATCCAACACTACACTTGTCTGCATGGCATCAAAGTCCATGAAAGTTTCAGTGATTCGGTAGCAAAGATATAATGAGAGAGAGAGAGAAAGGTATACGCTAAACAGTATATCAACAAGCTAGCAATCAAAGCAACTCTATATGCAAACAATGTAGTGTTCAATCTGACAGTCAAAGATGATGGGGTTATGCAAACAATATTGTGTGCTTAACGGGAAACCGGACAAAAGAATGGCCTCCTCGATAGGCAGTCAAGAGAAAGTGAAGTGGACAAAGATAGAGGGAATCGGAGAATGTGTAGCTCTCGTGCCACATCCCATTTGCAGTCTTCCTGCTCCTATTCCCCATTCATCAACATTGCTGTCTCACATGCACCTCCGAATCCCCTCAATCGTATCTCTCTAGCGATGGACCGGCGTTCAACTTTGCCAAGAGTTCATTGTTGCAACTGTGCCGACGAGAGAGAGGTCTTCGGCGGAGACCTTCACATCGTACGGGTACCGTGGGTCTGCCCCGACCGGGAAGGGAGGGGGAAATAAATAATTTTTTTATTATGGATGATTATAGAGTCAGCATGGATAGAGCATTCTCCATCCCGAATTATTTTTATTTATTATTAATTCTATAATTATGATTATATTTATATTTATATTTATATTTATATATTATTATGACATATAATATGTATAAATATTATTATTGTTAGTTATAAAATTTGATATTATTTTATTTTAAAAAAATTAAAATTAATTAATTAATTGTATATGAAGAACCAATGAATTTTCGTCCCATCTAAATAGGAAATTTCGTGAAACACTCCTTGTTCTTCCTAGTTGACATTTCTATTTTGGAGTAGGAATAATCATACAATTTCAATACCTTAGTCTTCGCTTAGGTTACACTCACGATAAGAGAAGAATAGCAACCACTAGTTTTCTTCTTGATCATTTTAAGAGTTTTATAATTCTACAGAGTGATGTAAAGTAATAGCAATGCATAATACCTTGAAGCTATCATGGGTATTGTCCAGGGCTAATGTCTAGGGCTAATTCATCATATTGTATTGTAACAATATCAGGTAGACACTTGTAAAAAATTTTGATCGTAACAAATTATCTTAAATTTTTTTTCATATAATTATTTATAATTTATAAAATTTAATTTGTATTTTATATCAACGGTTGACGAGGACAATGGTGATGATGCCAAGTAATCGAGTGAGACACACAGTAAAATTTGAGATTTGCGTCAGATTTGGTGGGTTTATATGGTCAAGATTTGGGTCGTATTTGGTATCGGCTGACCCGGCTCAGTCTTGAGCCACATATCAGAGGGTCCCGCATCATAGACCAATGAGTGGCTACCACCTCGATATTTGTCCTCGATGCTGCCTTGGCCACGATAGTTGTTGAGCTGTCCACACCGCAAATAATTCATCACGTCGGGGGCTACTTAGTCGCGGCGCGACCTGTCTCTTTTAGCATCGAACTTAACCACCTCCCACCAGGCGAGTTCTCACCGGGTCGAATCACCCTCTCGAAAAAATTGATTTCTTCCCTCAGTTGTGTGGGTCCCCGTAACTATCAGGGGCGACGTCCCATGATGTGTTCTCACGGGCGACTCACATCTGCCACGTGGCCTCGTCCATCTCAGAAGTCAGAAGTAGACAATCTGCGGAGTCGTCATGGTGGGTCCCAACAACCGAACGTCACATGGTGAATCGGCGGCTTTGGTCAACTGGATCAGGTCCACTCCGGTCCGCTGACGCACGTTGGTTGACCACCGGGGAGGAGAACGATCGTCGCTTGACGCCTCCTGTAATCTCTGACCTTTTCGTGCACCACCTCCTTCTACCCTGATGCACGTACAGACATCACAGCGCAGCCAAACCATCTCCCTCCTATATATATATATATTGTTTGCTCCTACCTCGACTCACCGGGACCTCAAGCCTCGTAAGATGTCATTCAAACGAGCGCCGGCGGCGAGCGTGAAGGTGACGGTCATCGAGACGCAATTCGTGCAGACGGACTCGGCCAACTTCAAGTCCGTAGTCCAACGGCTCACCGGCAAGGACTCGGCGGTGGCCGAGGTGGCACTGGCGAGGCCACGTGCGACGAGGAGGAGATCAGCACAGCCGGAAGAAAGGCTTTGCAGTGAAGGGGAACGATTTTGGTTGCAGGAAGTGATGGGGGAGGCTATGTTTAAGGAATCGGAGTGGGCGGCAGCCATGGAGCCATGTCCAGAAGAATGGTACAAATTCTGGAATTAGCAAAGCTCTCTCTCTCTCTCTCGCTCTCTCTCTAGCAAGAGAAATGCGCAGTAAATCTTGTTCTTTTCTACTGTAGGCTCCCGAAGGAATGCTAATTGTCGGAGATTTAGAATCGTTAATTGTTGGTGGTGTAAGTGAATTAGATATGTGGTGCAAATAAACCATGTCCTTCGAGTATGGGTTTTACAGGAACTGAAACTTGTCCAGAGAAGACTAATCGAGTGTATTACCTGCATCTTCGTTGGCAGGGACAACAAAGCATGCAAGGGCATCGATCCTTGGCTTAGTTGGTGGGTGTAAAGGGGGAGTCATGAGACTTTTCTTAGGTACAGTAACATGGGTTTGTTCAGCGTTTCTTGGATCTGCATTGGACACATAATTGGAGGCTGTCGCTGGTAGAGTGCCAGCGATAAGAAATCGTACATGCACGTGCTTGATGTAATGTAGATGACTTTGACTGTGTTTGGTCCCTATCATTTGCATTAGCTTATGCGGTTCTAAGATTCTTACTGCGATCTATTTGAAATAGCCACCTTCCATATATCTATTATACCTTCGAATATGTTTGTTCTTCTAATCATACGCAAATATAGGTTTTTGGAACCACAAGTTATGATTATAAACATGCAATAGAACTCTGGGATTTTGAGTGCCAAATAACGAAGAACAAATGTAGGTGTCTTTATTGGATCATCTTAAAATCCATCAAGGTGATCATGGGACCATAACATCAAGTCCATGGAAGATCACATCATTTGGAAGCCTTTGGTTCGAGTCCTCAGTCAAATCAAATAGCATGTTGTGCAACACACATGCAGTCAAAGAAAGATACACACCTCCTTGTCTTTGCAAGGAAAACAAAAGGTAGACAAACTTGGATGGGGAGATCCATCATGTCAACCAGACCTTGAGACTAAAAACATAAGAATGCCTTTTTAATAGGTTAGTTGAAACTCAGAATGAATAGAGATCATTTTTCTTAGTCAAATAAATTCATTTAAAATTCAAATTATATCTAGAAATGAACTGTAGAGGTGCATGTGTTGTTGTAAGCTTGCTGATGGAGAAAGACTGCCCAACTTTCTCAATCTAGTCAGGAGTTAGGGTTTTCTTTATTCAGTCCTTTTGTGAGATTTCAACAGCTTTTAGCTGCATCCACTGCTCTCCAATTAAACAGGTTTTACTGTAACATTCTATATGAATAAATGGCCTGAGAAGTCACTCATCACTAGCTTTTCCCTTCGAGATGATGCATGGGTGACGAGATATCTTTGACCTGCACCACCCAAGTTTGACCAACAATGGAGATGGTGATAAACTCAACGCCACTGTTCTTCTTGAATCTATATATGCTTGGCAACTAGTCAAATCTTCATCTTTGGACATATACTTAACCTCGTGATCAAAATTTCTCCTTGACCGGTCAAGACAACGCAGTCTCTAATCCATTCTTTTGCCAGAAGTCCAACTTGACGGTGAAGAACTTATTGGACCCAGTAATTGGCATCAATCTACAGTGGAGCTTTATTTTAGTCTCTGGGTTCTATTAATATGAACTGCGTCTCGATCGATCGTTCTCATACAGTCACTGATGACTAGTCTAACTCGGTGGCAGTATTGGTAAATTGATCCTTGCAGAATCATCGATGGCAAGCGAGGCAGATGGTCAAGTTGTTCCTGGACGGAATTGGCTGAGCTTTCAGCTTGCTTCGTTGGAGGAGCAATCATCCACAAAGTTCTTTGTGGTTGTGAAGAGAAGAGGACATTTTCTCCTTTGATCGTTTTTTTTTCTCCTCACCTTTTGTGTTCTACTTCAAACAATGACAGGATTTTGACTCGGTACCTGTTCTAGAATCATGTAAAGATTTCGATTGAATCCTTCACTGAAAGTTTACATGGGTGCTACCTTCTTTGTGAAGCTATAATGAAGGAAGATTAGCAATTGGAGGACATCATTTAGCAGTTAGTAGGAGTCAGAAAGTCCATAAACTTAATATAATTTCATTTGTTTTACCAAAAGCTTACAAATACAAACACATTACTAATTATAAATTATTCTTGTAATGAATTACCTTTAGTATTTCAATCTTTATACTTTCAAAAACTATATTGAGATTTCTATAATCATTTAACCTTATTTCTTCTCGCGTTGTCGATTTTATTGATAGAAATATCATAGGGTTTATCATTGAGCACTTTATCTCACTTCGATTTATTATTGAGTAAGAAGAAATAAGATCAAATGTTATATAAAGATATCGATATAACTTTTAAAAATATAAGAATCGAAATACTAAAAGTAACTAATTACTAATTGGTCCATATAAAAAGTTAATAGACTATGGTAATTTGACCATAACCAACATCTCTGAAGAAAGGAAAGGATTGCAAGCCACATGAAATATAAAATGTTGGAAGAGATCGATGAAGAAGCAGCTAAGCACATCTCAAACATTGTTTTTCTTCGAGTCAGCAAGATATCATCTTTCCGGTTGAAAGGGTTGCCACTTTGTGCATGCACTTGATATATATTATGAACTTAGCATTGCAAGTGTGATAAAATCATTGAATATTTCAATTCATAAAATGACAGTCAAAGTTGGTCTCTTTCACCAGCAAAAATTGGTTCTATATTTGCATGATGCATCATAAATAATACTCAAAACTTTGGTTAAGATATCGTGACAGTACAAGAAATGAAGTGACGTGTTCTGTGTTCTGTCCTTTGGTATTAGCTGACCGGTCGACCAGTAGTAGTAGTTTATCCCTACAGGTTTGACTTTTTGACTGTTCTTAGTTTGCCATGCCCCACGCAGTCCCAAGAAGCCATTGGAAGCAACGACTGTTCCCTCAGGAGCAGGGAGAAGGATCCTCCAAGCTTTTAGATGTCCGTCGAAGGTGTGAGGCCTGTCGAAATGTGAAATTGGAACAATGAAGATAAGACAAGTAATGAATTGTTTTTTCACATCTATTTATTGAAGGCACTCTAAAAGTATTTATATACAAGAGAATTGATATTTGCTAATACTAAAAAATTACTACATCTAAGCAATATGAACAAAGGAGGAAATAATCCCTTGAATCATGGCAAGCATCTTGTTAATTGATCCTCAATATAATTTTTGTGCTACATGGAAAGAATCCTAACGTCTCTTTTGTGCTGCATGAAAAGAATTCCAATTGCTGATGATTTCCTCGAGATTGTGTTGGCTTCTTCGGGCCCCCTCAAGCTGGTGAGTAAAAGCGAGTGAACTCTTAGCTTGAATCAAAAAGTACAAAAATAAAAAAGAAAGTTTGGATAAGGGTTTAGTAAAAACATCTATAATTTACAGTGAAAAGGAAATGAATTTTATGAAAGGACATGACGAGTAACTTTTTCTCAGATAAAATGATAATCAACTTTAATATACTTGGGAAGAGTTATGAAGGCTTTTTGAAATGGATGCTAATGTTACAAAAGAGATAACACACATGATATTTTGCTTTGGGGCTCAATCAAGCAATTATAGGTTGCTTCTTTGAGGTCCAAGCCCACACAATTTCCTTCAAGATAAATACAAAATCCAGTAAGAGTAAGAGAACTTTGAGATAAGCTTTAGATGCTAAGACCAAAAGTGTCACTAAGATAGCGTAAGTGATATCTGGTCAAGTGAAGGTTAGACATTGAAGAGCCCCAACAATGTTACTTAATTTAGTTTCATCGATGATAATATGATCATTAGAAAAGATGAAAGGTTTGATGGCCATGGGTTGGATAGAGAAGTAGAATATAACTGTACGAGGGCCACAATCCTCTATATAGCTATCACTTCCACCATTGTGCCATGGTAATTTCCGACGTCTTCACTCGATATAGTTATCACTTCCACCACCACTACTATTGCTTCGTTCTATTGTAGTCATTGTTGCTACTGCTCATGTTGTATCATCCTTCAACAATACATATATGGCCTTGCTCAATGCCACCCCCACGACTTCTCTCGTGGCATTGCTCCACATCATGTCTACGACCTTGATCATATCATATCTCGAATTCAATACGTGATGGCCACAATTAAGTATAGATTCCTAAACGAATCATAAATAATCCTATGCTAAAAATCAAGATATATATATTTAAGCATGAGAGACCCAAAGTCAAATGAGTATATAAAAAAAATTCACCTTTCTTGTAGACATTTACAATCGAAGCTAGGAGCAAAAATAAAATTTTGATAGTGGATGCTCAAAACTTACGGTCGGAGATACAAAATACTTCACAAAATTCACTAGCCAAAATAATAAAGAAAAGATCATTAGAATTAGAACTATTGATAATAAAATAATTTTAATAAAATATACTTTATATTCAATGAAATCATGCTTGATGTTGTAACGATGTAATAAAAATGTTAAAAGGTTTGGTATCATGCTTGATGATTTTATATTATGCATGAGGATTTGAAGTAATGATACTTTGAAATCTTATGTTTTGGAATTATGTGTTACACTTATTATCATGATGATTTTTGTGATATATGATTTATTGATCTTGATATTTTTTTTGATTTTCTGTTTTAATCAATGATGAATGGATTTGGTATAAAAAACAAGGATATGTTTGTATGAAATTAATCGCAAAAATTAAAATTAAAAAAAGGGGGAATGCATCTCTTTTAAAAATATCGTTATTTCTAAAATTTATCAAGTTTTTCAATCCAAATATATTATTATTTTTTAAATCTTTTGAACTATGAAAGTGATTTTGATGATATGAATTTCAATGAGTTTTATCTATATCATGATCTTGATGACTTAAGATTTCTTATGCATAATCAAGTTTTCTTATATTTCTTTCTACCATAGAGAAGTTTTTATCCTAATCATGATCTTGGTTTCTCGATATTTAATACTTGAGATTTTTTTTGTGAATCAAGATCTTGTATTTATTCTCTTATGTTTCTTTTTACCATTTAGTAAAGATAAGAATTATCCATATGAATCATAGTTTTTCTTGATTTCTCGGAATCTTAACTTGAGAAATTTTTTTTTATGAATCAAGATCATTTACTATGATTCTTCTTTTCGCTATTTCACGTATCCAAATATAATATGTCACTTGACTTCTTGATGATTATAATTTTTTTTGTACAACTCCTTTATATCTATGGTTGTATACATTTTGTCATGATTTTAAA